CGCGAAAAACCTAGGGGGGGGTTGCATCAACCCCCCCCCTGTGCCGGCGAGGGTTAAGGTCATAGGTCATTGGTTGACCTTCCAGGCCAGGTCAATGACCCAAAAGTCGGGAAAATCGAACCTGCTAGAACTTCGTAAAGTGAAGCTTTTATGCTTTTTTTTGGGGGGGGGGGGCGCTGATAACAAATTTCATGTTGGTTTTGATCAAAGAGGACGTCTTCATGCATTTGGGCCTGGTCGGGTCAGGTCAGGTCAGGTCAACCAGTAGGCGTCCTACCGCCTATCCAGTGTCAACCACCACTGAAAGCCTCGTAACATGTTACTAAGGCACTAAAACTACTTCGTAAATGTTCAAACGGTCATTAAATTCGAAATCAGCTTCAAAAACTAGCCTGGAAACACGTGCAGTGTGTAGTGGAGTGCAAAGAGTACAGTGGCGCCCCCACCAGCGGTGGCGGCCCCGGTAGCGGTTGCGCTTTAGAATTTTTCGCTTCCGCAACTCGCAACTCCGCAACTTTTTTGGGCTCGGTAGCCGATCCGTAACTCCGCTACCAAGAGGGTAGTCCGCAAGTTGCGGAGTTGCGGAGTTGCGGACTTAAGTTGCGCAATGCCCAGCTCTGGATATGGATATCCACTGACAGAACAGACATACAGACATGCTGTAAACGCCATTACACTGCAATACCATGGCAAATCAAATGGCTATCTATGGTTTTTGATCATCGTTCTACATTTTCCAAAACCTTGAACTGAATGTTGGTAATTTCTCGTGACTACTTCACGACCATGATGCATGCATTTCTGAAATTGATCTTTTTTCAACCAACCACGTACTCGTATGATAAAATGAATGTCACCATCGTGTTCTACGCCCAAAAGTACCCATAAAACATGTGTCATGGGCTGCGAATAGGTACCAGTTTTAATTTTCGGGGTTATGTGCTTACCTGATTGACCTGACTTTGACCCTGGCCAGTGGCCTATGTTTGACTGACCCTACATTGATCTGACACTCTTTTAGCACTTATATGAAGGGTTGTGACAGTTGTGCCAGATTGTTTAGGACCAACTGATGACGATATAATCGAAACGCGTTTTGGTCCTAATTACGGAGCGAGCGAAGCGAGCGGAGTCTTTCCTTAGATTAACGGAAATTTCTGAGTATGAGCGGCCGGCCGGCCGGCCGGCCGGCCGTGCGGACGCTTTTGCGAGGCTTATATCTCAGCAACCACTTGACCGATTTACATGCGGTAATTTTTATAGGGTAGCTTCATTCCTTCTACCAAGTATTGGACTATTCCCGATGCATTTGGGTGACCCCTTATGCACGTGCCACGTGCAAAACGAAGAGGTGTCAGTTTTGTAATTGTTGCAATATCTCGGTAACTACTTGGCCGATTGCGCTGAAAGTTGGCATGTAGGTAGGCACCCACTAGGCACTGCATATCCATGTGCCAGAGTTGGGGTGCTGCTGCACGTGCGCACGTGCAGGGGTCGTTTCCAGATCTCGAGAACGGCTCGACCGATTGCGCTCAAATTTGGTACACGGTTAGGGACCAGTTAGTAGGGTGCCGTGCACAAGTCAGTTGGGACCCGTTTTGCACGTGCGCACGTGCAGGGTGCCGCTCCCAGATCTCGAGAACGGCTGGGCCGATTGTGCTCAAATTTGGCACATCGCTAGAAACCGGTCAGTAGGGTGCCGTGCACAAGTCAGTTGGAGGTACCCCCTCGAAATTTCGCACGTGCAAGACTCACCCCCTCGCTCGCTCCGTTAGTCGCCCCAAAAGGCGCTATACTGGTGTAAATTATTTTGAATAATTGACTTTTGCCATAAGTTGTGACAGAGTTTATGACGAGAGGCACCGATTGCGATGTTCTAAAGTCCATGCTACTGAAAGCCCGATTTCAAGTATTTGGCCTGACCTTGACCCGACCAGTGACCTCAAAATTCAACTTTTAAGTGTTCATGTGAATCGTCTTGTCACGTTCTTCTTTCGTTTGCCGCCTCTTGCGTTTCGCTGCGCCTATTTGTTCGCGAGTTATCGGCTGGGGGCGTTGAACGCAAACGGGGGCGGGGAAATACCCCAGCAACTGCCGGGTTAATCTGACGCATTTTTTTTTGTCATTTGATCGTCATTTTATTTCTTACTTTTTTGCCCAATCTAAAAACAAAATTATTAATACTTTTTCTCCAAATTTTTGACCCTTTATGACCAATAGTAAGACGCTGTGCGTCACTACGTTGATACCTATTTCTCGCCCTAAAGAATAACAACAATATCCATTCAGTAATAGCAGTATTCAAAACATATTCAAAATGCCTCGCGATATCGATAACATTACGAAAGACATAGGCGACTCATAACATACTTGCAATGATGACGTCACACACGCGTGACGTGACGTGACCTCGTCATTTCTGAGTTACTGTATGATGCACGAAAGACACTGGTATACCTATGCAAAGTTTCATCGCAGTCGGTCTACGCATTAACAAGTTATGGGCAAAACATTTTTTCGCGTTGACCCCCGGCCATCCGTGAGGCCGTTTCCAACCATAGTGCTCTGTGGTCTTGGCCTGCGGCGGTTTCGGGCCGTCGCGCGGTCACTCGCGCTGTGGCGGGAAGCGGGGACGGTCGAGCGGTGCCGAAAGCCGGCGGAGTTGTGCGTAACGTCTTGTCTGACAGTGCCCAAAGAGCGACATGATGACTGAGGAGCCTTAAATGCTCAATGTGCATTGATTGTACAATGCTGATATGTTCGCTGATATTTGTTTTATTTTTTATAAGCTGCAAATGACGGGCAAATGGCATATAACTGACATAAGGTGAAGAAACATTCACCTGTATTTGAAGCCTATGGCGTTGCAGATAATGCGATAATGGGATGTTGGATGTCATCAAGTAGCTCCTGATTTGTACATCGCTATGCACCCATCGACCAGCGCCATAACTAGCTAATTGCCTTCGCTTCACATCATAAGGATCGCTTGTATTTCACCAAACGGATATCCTACATCGAAAATCGTATTTGTTAGGAATCTTAACGTTTGTTCGAAGCATGTGTGAGTAGTAGATTGAGGAGTGATGGTCCTCTTGGTCCCATATACCTACAAGAGTCAACAAGAGCCTAACATTTACTTGACGGTCTGCTGAAATTGATTCATAGCACGTGAAACGTCAGCGAAATTCATAGACCTTTACAGATGGCAGGGGTGTCGCTTGTACAGAGGTCGCTGATGGGCACGGGTCAATGCCGCAGTCGTGGGCGGAGCCTAATGTCATATGACGTATGAAAGCCTCTATCCAGGATGGAAAAACAGTTAACATTACGAGTCAATGACAAGTGCCACAAATATTTAAGTGACAACAAAATGTATTTGAAGAAAAAGTTTCGGCAGGTCTCGAAACAGCTATTTCCTAAATATGGTTGAAATTATTCCACGCATTTAAAAATAATCGCGAAAAATTAGGGTCTCAAAGCGTGTGGCGTTAACAGTAGATGGGATACTGTTCCGCATCACACTAATCGGTACACTCTCTGACACACCAGACCTGCCCCGCTTCGGTCCCGGGTATGAACGCGGATTCTGCGCTCAATACTAGGGTTGACTATTAAGTAATGGAAGTGCCCCTAGCAATGACAGGTTTTTACACGTGCACGCATTTGTTTCATGTCATCACATACACAGATGTTTTTTCTTTACGATGGTGAAGACCCGATGTCTTTAGCTTTATTCTGCTCTGAGCTATCACCGTTTTCCCAAGAGACCACCTAAACCTGTGGCGCACCATAAAAAAGGAGCCTGGAAATGGAGAAAAGCGCGTGCCAGCGCGGCGCGAGGTCCTCTGAGGTCAGTTTGTGGTAGGAATAAGTTCTGCCGAGACAGGACATTTCTTTTGGAAGTGTATGGAGTGACTGTAGCCTCCCTACAGACGATATGTCGGTGGTGCCACCGATTTCAAAAGGGGAGGGGTGCCGACATCGCGGACAGGCAGCGTCCGGGGGCACCCAAGAGAGAGCATATGGCGCATGCGCGAGACCAAGTGGGGAAAATGATCGTTGGCGGTAGGCGCTTAGGTATACGCGATATGACAATGAGCTATGAGCCTGTGAGACATAACAAGGCTGCTGAGTTCTGAAAACCTGGCGATGGCGCGCCATTTTAGCCATTGCCCGGCTCCTCTTTTATGGTGCGCCACAGGTTTAGGTGGTCTCTTGGGAAAACGGCGATAGCTCAGAGCAGAATATAGCTAAAGACATCTGGTCTTCACCAGTGGAAAGAAAAAACATCGACGCACGTGTTGGCACTAAAGAAATGCATGCACGTGCAAAAACCTATCATTGCTAAGGACACTTCCATTATTTAATAGTCAACCCTACATAATAGTACCCAGACTGGTGTTTGATTCATCTGTGATTGAATAGATTGGATTGAATCAAACAAAATTTGTTGAATCAAAAAGGTTTGATTCACCGTCAGGATTGTTTGATTCACAAGCCATGATTGAATCAAATGCATTGGGAATCAGGGTTGATTGAATAAGAAAAAATTAATGATTCATGAACTTAAAAAGAAATTGAAGTGAACGAACATAGTTCATTATCAACAAATATTAACACTACTGCCATTACATGACAACAAAAGAACACAAAAAATACAATACTATCCCTGATATTTTGTATATTTTATTTTTTAATTGAATCAAAAAAGAATCATTAAAAAAAAAATTGGCTGAATCAAACGTGAATCATTCCTTTCATTGTTTTTTTGATTCTCTGAATCAAAAGGAATCGATTCACCAAATTTTTTGAAGGAATCAAACGGTGATTGAATCAAACAAAAATCAAATGAATCAATGATTGAATCGATCCAAAAAAGATGAATCAAAAACCAGTCTGGTAGTACCTGCCAACGAGCTTTCGAGACACCCTGTATGTATACCGCCCAGCGTCCAAGGCTAGCGACAGGTGTCACCATATGTGGGTGGGGGGCTCACCTGGCGAGCTGCCGGCTGTAGGTGGCTGCCTGCTGCAGCAGGTGGGCGCGCTCCAGCTGGTGGTCCGGCCGCCGGGCGGCCTCCTCCAGCCGCGCCAGCTGGCGACGCTGTCCCTCCAGCTCGGAGCGCACCGCCCTGTTGAGCTCATTGAGCTCCTGCAGCGAGCTGCCGCAGCCCTGGATCTCCTGACAGTGACCACGAACAGCTGTCAGGGAACAGTTATCACGGCACTCTTACCAGCGGACAGCTACCAGGGAGACAGGGAAAAGTGACCAGGGGACAGTTGTCGTGATCACGCGCGTCGAACGATAGGTACACTTTTTGTTTAGGCCAGGTCAGGTCAGCTTAGGGTGTTGACATCACGCCAAGGTCAAGTCACAGACTTTCGGAGCACAGACTTCGCCGAAGCCAGTCATATCGCTTATCATTCGATTGGGCAGGTCTTCTTGTGAGATCAGTGATGGCTTTTCGACTCGCAAGCTCAATTTTATTAAGCGTTATTGACGAAAAATTCCCGTCATTACGAGCGAGCGCGAAGCGCGAAGAGTCTTTTTCCATATAACGGAAAAAATCTTATCCTAAGCGGCCCGGCCCGGCCCGGTCTGTAACGCTTTTGAGAGGCTTATAACTCAGCAACCGCCGGGCCGATTGACATGCGGTCTTTTTTGTTGGGTAGCCCCATCCCTGCTCCCCAGTAATTGACTTCTCTTGATGCATCTATGTGACCATCGTGCCACGTGCCACGTGAAAATTCAAGGGCGTTCAAGCTGTTTTGCAGAATTAGCGCTTTTAACCCGCGCCCCGTAAGGGAGAGGCCGAAATGTTCGGACGCGCATTCACCGGCAAACACCTCGGCTCAGCTGATTAGTATATTTACAGTGATCGTACGGTACACGTTAATTCAGTTAACAACTCTGTGCTGATTCCCCGTGCCTTCCGGCCTCTTGTCCTCCGCCGCGCTCAAGCCCCCGTGCTGAGCCACCCGCTCAGCCCCGAGCCCCTCTCGCCGAGCGCACCGCTCAGCGACTGCCCGCCGCCGGCGATGCGCCGCATTATATAGGGGGGCTGGGCGCCCGCCGACCAATCAGCGGCCCCCACGCCACTGACGTCATCACCGCCGGCAGAGCTGCAGGTTTGGCGGCCGGCGCCAGCCGCCGGCCGGCCGGGCGGCCGTGCGTCGCTCCCCAACACACACACCCCCCCCCCCTACACATAGGAGAGGAGCACGGCCGCTCACACACATACAGTACACTACAGCGCCCACAACGCACGCGGTTCACGGACCCCGCCTGATACTGTACCGGGGGCAAGTGAGACGCCCGTACCGCGTTCGGTACGGCGCGGGTGGACCGAGGGCGGCAGGAGGCGGTTCGGGTCCCACGCCGCGATCTGGGCGATGCCGCTCCCACCATACAGCGGTCAGTGGTCTCGCTTTTGCCACCAGCTACGCGCTCGAGGTGACGTGCGACCAGTTCGGTCTGCGTCGGGACTCTTGGCGGCGGTGCGATCTTGTTCCGCCTCTGGCAGAGGGTACACGCCCTGCAGTGCTCCTTGATGTCTTTGTACATCCCGGGCCACACGAAGTTTTGCTTCACCCTTAGCGTGGTGTGGCGGTGTCCCATGTGCCCGCCCGTCGGCGGCTCGTGTGCAAGCTGCATCACGTGGGTGCGCAGGGAAGGCGGCACCGCTGCCCTGAACCCACTCGCCGTGGTCATGCCGACGAGGTCGTTCACCACCCGAACATGGAGGGCTCCTGGTCCTAAGACCTTGCCCCACTCTCCCAGCACCAAGCTGTCGGGGGGCGTCTGATCGCTGAAACACCGTCGGGCGTGGTTGAGTGGTGGGCTCTCGTCTTGCGCCCTTCGCATGTCGCCCCGCTCCACCGAGCTGGTGTCGCCTGCGTCGCCGTCGGCACCTGGACGGCTGCTGGCCTGTGCGCCTCTGCCCGCCACCAGTAGTGCTTCGCTGGCCGAGTCGACCTCACTGCTGGCCTGGACGGTCAGCCTGTCTGTTTGGCCTGCGTTGCCGCTGCTGGGCGACCCGCCCTCGCAGCGGCCCGCGCTCTCCGGCTCTGGTTCATTTGAGGTCACCATGACCTCGACGTAGCCGCTGCTGGGCTGCCCGCCCCCGCAGCGACTCGTCCCGGACCCGTGGGGCTCGACGGGGACCCCACATGGGGTCGCTTGGGTCGAACCATGTCGTTGTCGGTTGAACCCTGCCGACTGGAAGACGGCGCGAGCAGTGCACATCACTAGAGCCACTGCCCGCTCGCAGGCCTGTGCGCAGCGCCTTGCCAGACCGGTGTTCGCGGCTCCCGAACGTTCGCAGCGCCTGGGCCCCTGCAGCCTCACCTCCGCGTGGCTCGGTAGGGGGAGTGTCAGGCTCCCGAGCCTGATCACCCCGTTCCCGTCGTCGATGACCGTCTTCTCGCGGCAGCAGAAGTCTCTTCCGAGCACAATGTCGTACAGCAGGCCCCCAACTATTTCCACCTCTGGACAGACGAATGCCTTCTGCTGTATCTCGAGCCCCAAATTGTGCACCACGCCTAGCATCTGTAGCTCGTTACCTCCGGCCCCCCTTGCGGGCCGCGTGCTTGGTGAGGACTGGAGGTGCAAACTTCCCCTGATCGTGTCCCAGAAATCCCCCCTTATCATGGAAAAGTCGGCCCCGGTATCCACCAGAGCCCAAGCCTGGTGACCTGCGACCCGCACCTCTACGGCTGACGCCGTCAACCCCGCACTGTGGGACTCTGATGGATTACGTACCGGCACTGGTCCCGTCGCACCGGTACTCACTCGTTTCCCTGTGGCTGACCCACCGCAGCTACGTGAGTGCCCCTATGCATGAGCGCGGGATCGGGAGGGCACGCTTGTCCCTGACGTGTGGGCTGCCCCGCAGCGGGTGTGCCGTAGGGGGCAGGTGGGTAATCCACCCTCCGCTGCCCTTCACGGTCGCACCCCGCTGCCTGCGTGTCTCCCCACTGCCAGTGTCCCGTGTGTGCTATGGGGCCCTCCATCGACGGGATATTAGGCGTGCCTACGAATGCAGTCGCGGGGGCAGGCGGGCAACCCGCCCATCGCTGTCCTCCACGGCTGCACCCGGGGCAGAATGGGGCCCATCCGCCGGCCTCCTCAGGCGGACCACGGGGGCGTTCCGCCCACTCCAAGCCCGCCTGCTGGTGACCGGGTGGGAAGGACCACCCCGCCCGATCGTTTCCCTGTGCCTGCCGCGCCGGGCAGTCGCGGATCAGGTGGTCCGGGCTATTGCAGTGAAAACAGCGGCGCCCCGGGCCCTGCCTGTTCGGGTTCGGTGGCCCGAGTTGGGGGTCCCTTGCCCCTGCCCCGTGCCCCAAGCGGTGGGCGTCCCGCCTTCCCGTTGTGTCAAGGCGCTGCAGGGCGCGCTGCAGCTCCCCAATGCCCCTCTCCAGCGCGTCTAGGCGATCTGCGCCCGGTGCGCCCCGGTCCCGGACCGCCAACGCCTCGCTCTCGTTGGGTGGCCGCATTGCTCGGAATGCGTCCTGCTGCTGTTGGACTTTAGCGGCGACATCCATGGCCTCCATGAGGCTGGCCGGGTCCTTTGTCAGCACCCGCATCCGCAGCTGTTCGTCACGAAGGCCGCACAAGAAGCGGCTGACGATGGTCGCCTCGACGGACGGGTCACCGGCTGCCGCCCCCGGGTACGCCTCCCGGCCGGCCTGGCGCACCCTGTCCGCGAAGTCGCGAGTCGCCTCGCCGGGCTGCTGTCGGATGCTCGCCAGTTCGGCTTGTGCCTGCATTGCATTCTTTGCCGTGCCGAAGCGGGCTTCCAATGCGGCTACTGTTTGCTGCAGACTTCCTTGGACGTCCTCTGACAGCGAGGCGAAGTAATCCAGGGCGCCGCCCTGCAGAAGGCTGAGCATGCCCTGCAGCCATTTTTCTTCGGAAAACGCGGCCGTCTTTGCCCGGAACCGTCGGTACCATTGACCCCATGCCTGTTTGTTCTCCCCCGTGAAATTTTCAAAGTTAGTCAAGAGCAGGAATTCTCTCTCCATTTTACGTTGCTGCGCTGAGGCCGATTCTAATTGAACTATATTGAAATTTACTTAAGAAATAGTGTAAGCCAACGAATGCGCGTCCGCTTGTGTCCGAACAGTCCTACCGACCGCGCCAGTTGTTCGGACGCGCATTCACCGGCAAACACCTCGGCTCAGCTGATTAGTATATTTACAGTGATCGTACGGTACACGTTAATTCAGTTAACAACTCTGTGCTGATTCCCCGTGCCTTCCGGCCTCTTGTCCTCCGCCGCGCTCAAGCCCCCGTGCTGAGCCACCCGCTCAGCCCCGAGGCCCGAGCCCCTCTCGCCGAGCGCACCGCTCAGCGCACGGTCATTGAATACTAAGGTAACACGGAGCCGAAGCTTCAAGCCAGGGGACGCGGGAGGCATGCCGTCAGCTGATTGTGTACAAGAGTTTACCCAGGGCCCTATGGGAGAGAGTTAACACGTGCTTCTATGGGGCGAATTCGATGCAACAATGGCGCAGTAGCGACATTACTCTTGTTCGATGTCTTTCGGACGACAAAGATTCTACGCCGTTTGGCCAATCACATTCCATAATTGCAGCCGAGCTCCCGTTGACCTAGAAGAGGATTGGCCGGACGACGTACAATCTTCGTCGTCTGAGAGACATCGAACGAGGGGTACATCGACTGAATATGCATTGCGATTCAATATTCAGTAATATGGCCTTGATTCAGTATTTTATGACCGTGATTGCAATTTGCATTTGAGCTCAGCAGTCGAGTAAGTTGTGCCAAAAATACCAGAAGCGATATCCTATATACGGCCTTGACCAGAAGTGTTGCATGCCCTGGATGCAGAAAAACGAGATTGAGATGAGTGGATCAAGATGTACCTTTCACTTAAGATCCATGCAGGTGAGGTTCCAGTGAAATTTGAATTCGATAGGTAGCTATTTTTGTTTTTGCTTTGATACTTGTGGTAAGGAAACATGATTATGGTTGCATGAACCGCCCACTGCTCATTGCTGTCTTGTCTCGGGTTCGATATCCGATCACCATTCTTAAATAGCTCACCCCATATGGAAATCAGGTTTCAGGAGGCCACTAGGCCTGTGGGGCCTGGTCTCAATGAGCTCCCAGTGCTAAGGACAGTCAGGCTCATATGTTGGGTAAGGTCAGGTTCA